GCCGCGAGGGGGCCACGTCCCACACGTTCTCCCCCACCTTGATGCTGGCGTCAGACACGTGTCCGTGGACGTTCCACCGTGGCCGCGAGGGGGCCGTCCCAGAAGCATAGCCCCCTGTGGGAACACTGCCCTCTGACACACGCCCGAGGAGCTGCCCCATGGCCTGGCTACTCCCGTTCTGGGGGAGGGGGTACCCAGAGGGGTGGGGGGGAGGCAGAGCCACCTGCCTGTCTGAGACACTTGTACCCTGTGGCTGCCTGACACTGCCCCCCCACAGCTGCTGCCCCTCATTACTCGAGCCACCTCCTACAGTCTTCAGGGACCCTGGGGAAGCCCAGGGGGCTACAGCTGGCCTCAGGATGGTTCTGAAATCATACTCCTGGGGCCCAGAAGGCCCTGGGCCCACCACTTCGGATGGAGCCGAGGGAGGCAGGTCTGAGCCGATGGTGTGCAGCGCCCCCTCCAGGATAGGGGCCACGCCAGTGTGTGCAGGCGGCTCAGCCTCCGGAGCTGCGGGCAGGAAGTCTTGGATGCTGAGGCCCTCAGAGAACGGCCCCGGCCTGTCCACCGGCCCCGAGCCACAGGCCCCTGCTGCTGGAGGTGAGAGCTGCTGCGGCGTCCGTGCATTCGGGCAATCCCAGGCAACCACGTGCTGTTCTGCATACCCAGAGTCAGAGCTGCTGCCTCCCGCCGAGTGCCCGGGGCCCGGAGACAAAGCCTGAGACACAAGTGGGTGTTGGTTCCCCAAGCTCAGTTCTGCAACCACCAAGTCAGGCTCAGCAGCCACTGCGCTCCCAGGGCACCGCAGACCTGGGGCATCCAGCTCACAGCCCCATGCTCTGCGCCCTGAATCCTGCCCCCAGCCCCTCACCTGGGAGCCGGCAGCAGGGAGGACAGAGAGTGGCTCCAGGGCCTTCCCTTCGGACACGTCCCTCAGCATCCCCTGAAATTCAGGCAGCAGCAGTGAGCGCCTAACCCCACACAATCCAACCCAGAGCCTCCGCACCTCACCCAACACACACAAGCCACAGCTCCTGACGGCCCACACGGGCCATAGCACCGAGGCGAGAAGGGCCTGGGCCTAGAGCGAGCACTCAGCACTGCCCGCGTCATCCCAGGGCGGCACAGCCTCCTCCCAGTCCCGACGTCCCTGAGCACTGAGTTACCAACCCTCTCCCAGAACCCGGGTGTGCGTGTACTCTCAGGGGCTCCGAGACCCCCGAAGCCCAGGGGAAGAGCTCCCATCAGAAACCATGGTGATACCCGAATGAGCTTCTGATCTTCTACGAGGAAACGAAGCCGTGCACTTGCCAGTCGGTGCCTCTGGATTTTCCACAGTGCCTTCTGCTCTCGACGAGCTGCTTCCGCAGACAACTTGCTATAATGGTCAACCAGTGCCTGCCTGAAGACACAGCCAGAGAGACCCAGCTGCCACAGTCGCCCAACACTGTCCAGCTGGCGCCCCGTGGGCCGGGATGGCTCTCCACAGCAGAGGCCCTCGGCACCTTCCCAGGCTAGCAGCTGGTCCCGGCGAGGCCCCACAGCCCCTGCAGGGGCCTTGCCGGGCAGGTCTTTCTGCCCACCAGACCGGGACCCCGGCGGGCAGGCACCTAGCTGGGGCTCAGCAGATGTCTGCTGAGCAAATACCAGAACGAGCCCCTACACGACCCGAAGCAAGAGGACAGGCAGGAGGCCCGGGGCTGCCAGGCCCCCTGCGCGAGAGGTGCCTTCCTGGTCGGCTGGGGCGAACTCCGGAGAATGAAGGATAAATGCGAAAGGGGACACAGCACAATACAAACGCTGCATCTGCTTCCCTGGCAGCTGTCCCCGCACGTCACTCCCAGCGGTTTTGGTCCTCTCGCCAGCAGGGAACTGGGTCAGACCTGGACTGGCTAATTCCCAGTTGGCTGCCCCGGACCAGGGACACAGCCCTACAGCTCGCTGTCTCCTACACAGGACAGAAGAACATCTTCCCCCACACGCGCACACGCCCGCACACGAGACACACCCTCCGAGAACAGTATCTAAGGTCAGCACAACGGGGATCCTGAGAGACGACGGGCAGGAAGACATAGCCCCCCCAAGGTGCCCCCGGGAGACTCTGCTGCAGCTTGCAGGAGACGCACGGGAGGGCAGACAAGCTAATGGCACCAGAACAAGATAGCCTCTCGGATGCTGGGCTGGACAAATGCCCCGTCTGTTCAGTGGTCGGGCTGATCACGGGTTTAAAAATTAGGGACAGGAGCTGCTGAACTTAGAAGAAACAGAGAGACGGAGAGGCGGGAGAGGCAAACCCAGTGTGTGCACCTTGTCTGGATTCTAGTCCACACTAACCAACCAGGAGAAGACGTCTGAGGATGGGGAAGCACACCTGAGCATGGGAAAATGGCCACACGCACTCCGCCCAGGTGCACGTTGGGGTTTGGACCCCTACTCTGCCTACCTTAACACACGCTTGAAGAATCTCCAAAATAGAGAGATGACCATCACCAGACCCTGCCAGGAGGGTCGCCCGCGGCCGCCTACCTCGTCTTCCTCTCCAGCTGCTCCTCCAGGGCCCTCAGCCTCCTCTCCCTGTCGCGGAGCGCCCGCGCATAGCCCAAGTCGTCATCCAGAGCCTCCTGCCTGGCCGCCCAGCGCCGCTGCACAACGTACCACACACGGTCTTGCAGGTTAGAGCTGGACTCCCCGAGCCGGCCCCCCCCCGCCCCCCACGGCCGCACCGCCTACCTCCTGGTCCTTCACAAACTGCTCCTTCAGCCTCTGAAACTGCTCTCGCTTCCGGGCGTCCAAGGCCATGCGTTCCGACGTCTGCCGATCTATGTTGAGACGGGAGGGGGCGGCGCGCTGAGAAGCCCGCAGCAGGTGACCCCAGAGGAGCCCCAGAGGGCGACCCGAGCCACACGTACCACTGAGTGCTCGCAGGACCCTGGACGCTGCTTCCCGGGCCTGGACAATCAATTCTTGTTTTGCAATTTCCATTCGTAATTCCTGGAAAAGATCATCTGTAAACACATCCCAATTCTCTGTCCCCTCCTCTAGGGCGGCCTGAAAGCGGGGGCTGCTCGGACCCCTGAACCCTTGCTCAACAAGCCTAGGTAGTCAACACACTCTCCAAGCAATCGGGGGCTGAGACCCCCAGGCCTGCGTGCGCCCACCCTGGAGGGGACCGGGAGCTCGGGGCGGGCTTCCCCACAGGGATGGAGGGCCAGCCCCCTCCCCGCATCCACCCCTACGTGTTCTCTCAAGTCTCCCCCGGGGGGCCAGGCCAGAAATGGCTTTCCATCAAACGCCTCCCTGGGTACACAAAACACTCAAAGCTCAGGTCCTGGTACCCCAGCCCCTTCCGAGCAGGAGAGGAGCTCACAGGGGTCACCAAGTGCAGGAACCTCCGGTCCTGCTGCCCAGGACTGGGCGTGTCTCCCGCCCAGCCAGCCCCTGAGAAGAGAGGACAGAGCCCTGCCCAGGCGTCCCCCACCCAGATACCCTACCGGACAGAGAACATCAGGGCAGCCTCCCCACTGGCCCAAGACCCTTAGAAGGGAGGGAGGTGCACGGAAAGCCCCCAGGCCCACAGCGCCCAACACCTTCTCCTCCTTGCTGATGGAGCTGTGGTGCGCTACCCTCTCCATCCGCCCCACGTAGATGGCACAGTCCCTCTCGACCTCCTTCAACTCCTCGGGGGAGAAAATCACTGAGATCCGAGGGACGGGGACGTCAGACCAGTAGAGGTAATGCTACCAAGAAGGAAAAGCTGAAGTGAGCCAGGGACACGCAGACCCATGCCCAGCTCTGCCTCTGTTCCTGGGGACCCATGGGGACAGCTCCCTTTCTCAGAAACGTTCATTCACTGGAGGGGCCTGGCTCCAAGTACATCCCAGACGGGTTGTGCGGGGTCTCTGCCCAGGCCAAGGCTGCCTCCCACCAGCGATCCTCCAGAAGCTATGAAGACCTCTCCTCAGCCTCCCTCACTGGAGGCGCGTGGGCTACAGGCCCAGGGTCAGCCCACACAGAACAGACCCCACTGCTGGCCACCCCTCCCCCAGGGAGCCTCGGCCTTCGAGCTCCCCAGCATCCGGCCCCTCCCCATGTCCTGACAGCTCCAGTCTGTTCTCAGCCCAGCACAGGAGGGACCCCGTCAGGCACAGGCTGAGCCTCCTGGCCCCTCCCCAGCCCCGTCCTGGGCAGCCCACCTGCCTCCCTGCTCTACAGGGCTTCACACCATGGACGGTACATGGGCCGCTGCCAGGCCTCCCCCACAACCCTCCAAACCACGAGACACGACTCCCTAAACCAGCCTGGGTCCATCTTCCTGCGGATGTAGCCCACGACTGTCCCACTGGGGCAGTTTCCCGCGTGGAGGGAGGGAAGGAGCCCACCGCCCCTTGGCCTTTGAAATGCCTTTGCTTTCCGTCCTGTCTTTGGACAAGCTCCCAGAAACTCGATGGAGCTGCTTGTGACACTCAGGGGGATATGAGAGGTCAGCACACACTACAGACAGATGGCCAGGTCTCAGGGGACAGGGAACAGCAGCAGGACAAGAAGGCACGGGAGGGCTGGCTCTCCTCACCTGGGGGCAGCAGAGTTTCAGCAAATTGATGGTCTTCCCGCAGACGTACACATCGTGGGCGATGTGCTTCAAGAACACGGGGACGCAGTCCTCCACCTCTTTGGAAATGAGCACATAGCCGTGGGTCCAGTAGAACTTATCTGAATGGGGGACAGGACACATGGCTGGCTGGGGTGCAGCCCTGGCCCCAACCCATCTGATGGCAGAGGCCCGGCCTAGCAGCCAGCAGCCACCTACCTCTGCAGCCCAGGTACTCGTGGTTCACCTGGATCATGAATTCCCCATAAACGTCTCTGAAGACCCCACTGTACACCCAGTCGTGGATGAACCTGCCAGGGTGGACAGGCCAGCCATGAGGGAGCATGGTGGCCAAGGGGGTGGTCCACCAATGTGCCCACAGTCCAAGCCCAGCAGCGCTACTCCCCCCTCCTCCCACACAACCCCTACCCTTAGGCGGTGTGTGACAAAAGGCTGCTGTCCTGTGTCAGCCCGGGGTGC